AAAAACGATTGATTCAAAAAAATTGTAAGCAGCTAAAAAATTGCACAATTTTCAGGAAAATGCGATGTCTTGCAGAGCAGAAAAATAATCTCTCAATCTCAATCAATCAAAAACCTCAGAAAAATCAGGAAAATATGCCTTGCGACGACATTTAAGTTCTGCTGTTTCTAGCGCTTTGGCTCTAGCGAAAATCCAAAATACGCCAACTTCAACCGCCGAAAATCTTTCAAACCTGAATCTTAAAATCCCATTGCGGGTAGTCCCTTTGCTCGATGGCGTTGTAAAGGTCGCGATTGGCATAGTCCGGATCTTCGCCGGCAATCTTTTTGGCTTCCCGGTTGGTCAGCCACTTGATGCCTTGTTTTGTCTAAAGAATCAAAAAAATTGGCGTTCAGGGCCCGAATTTACTCACTTTAAAATGAAATTTACAGTAGGACGGCTCGCCCTGGGCGTTGACCATCTTGAAGGCGTGCGTGCTGGAATAAAAATTATTCAAAAGGTCTTAATAGAATTAAAGACTGCCGTGAAATTTTAGTATCTAGTAGATCTAAACTAAATTGCTCAAGAAATACCGTATTACTCGCTTCATCTATTACTCGCAGAAAATTACCTAAACCCATCCATATGCCGGTAGCCATCCGGAATCCCGCGGTCCCCGTAGAGAAGCAACACCTAGTAGTATAAAAGTTATAGGTTTGAAATACCACACACAAATACCATAAATAACACATACGTAACGTGACCTCAGTTTATCGTTTAGCGGGTATTTACTCAGCGTATACGACAGGCAACCCACCGCTGTTCATGTCTCCCTACAGCGGCAAGAGAAAGAAAAAAGAAAAAAGGAGAGTTGAAGCTAATGCTCCCCTCGATCGAGCCTGGCCACCGTTCACTACTGAAAACAGCCGACGCCCGTTTGATCAAAAATGGTTTTTTATTTTCCTAAAATCCTTACTCTTCCTCGCCTTTGTTCTTTTCAATTCCTCTTTTTCATTTCATAAATTCCATATTTTTTTAAAATGTTGGTTTTAGCAGGACAGGGAAAGGGCAGCGCACGGTTACTCCTCAATTCACGGGCCATACCTTGTAAGTTTTTTCAAAAAGTTTAATTTTTCCGCGAAACTGTTTTTTCTCTTTTTTCTAGTTGGAAATGAATTGATTTCTTTGTCAAAGCGCTAGAATTTGCAGCTTATGAGTTTATTTCTGAAATCCCTGAAGTTTAAATAGTTTTGCTGTTTTATCATCAAATTTGGCCCAGAAACAGCCGAAACGGGGTTTGGGGGCGACGACAGGGAATTTCAAACTCGCACGCTTCCCGCGCTCTTGGCGTACAGAGGCCTTCGCCGTACAAAGCTCGCGTTTCCGGGCCGTAACGGAATTTGGGCAGTTCTTTGCCCCTTTAATGCCTAGGAAGCTCAACTAAAATCTATTGATTTTTCAGAGTCGGCAAAAGAAACGGCAGCACAAGGAATGCTGATGGAAATGGAGGATGCGAAGATGAAGAAGACATAGATGGGTATTCATACACCCACCAATCAGTAGGTTCCCCAAACTAAAAGTGAGATTCAATTCCCAAGCGAAATTGAGAAAAAGAAAGGCAAATCCACTTTTTTACAAACACCATTTTGAATTCACAAAATCCAAAACAAAAAACGCTTGAATTTGGGTTTTACGCTGTGATTCCGGGTGTTTTTAATCTGTTTGACCGGCCAAAACTCTATGCAATTGTGTGAAGTAGCATATTCCAGGACGAAGACGTAATCTACGTGGGAGAGGGCGACATTTGCTGGCTAGCCATAGTTTAAAGATTTTGATGCAGTTGAATTTGTGAGTTGCGAATCCTACTAATAAAATATTATTAATCGCTTCGAAGTGTTCATAAAAAATCCTGTATAAATGAGTTATTTAACCTAAACCTTAAAAAAAATTCCAAATTTTTGGATAAGTTTGGTGTTGAATAAACGGTTTTTGATCAGTAAAAACTGAAAATGCGTCGAAATTTTGATGTGACATTGGTAAAATCGCCGCAATTATTGGAACATTTGCTTCTTGAAAGGTAGCTTACAAAGCTACTCCCAAATCTTTAAAATTTCAGCTATTAAACCAGAAAAATTAAAAAAATGTTACCTGGTGTATCGATTCCGGGCGCAGGCTGTAAAAGTCGAACATTGCATTTACGTCCTAAATGTTTAAATTACTATAAGTTAATTAATCAGAGCCGTAAACCAGCCAAAAACAGTTCACTTTCACTTTTATACTTTTGAAAGTTATAAAAAAGACACCAAACTTGCTTTTCAAATTTTAATATGCTAAAGACGCAAAACAATAGAACCTGTTTCCTATTTCATGCCGTAGCTACCGTAATTTAACAAGTACACCGTAATTTGTATACCTTAAAATGCGTCTTTGGGTTCCGTTGTTGGCTGTGGACGAAGGAGGGGAAGAAGATTCCATCGCGGATGAAAAAGGTTGGGGTGTTGATTCCAACCTGATTTTAAGGATATTTTATAAATTTCCGTTTGATACCATATCCCAGTTCCCCTCCTCGGTGTACACTTTCAGGGCAAATCCCCTCACATCGCGTACCGTATCCGCTGAGCCCTGGTCGCCGGCTAGAATTTACAAATACTGCTCAACTTTGATGGCGAAAAGGTAGTTGCAGGCTAGCTATTTATTAGTCACCTTAAAAACGCCTAACAAGGAGTCGTTTTTAGGTGATATTGGAGTTTTTGAGCGAGACCTAGCTAGTTCGATAGAGAAAAAAAATTCTGAGCAAGATGTCGTTTTTCAAATCTGCTAACCGTGTATTGTATTCGATAAAAATTAATTTGAAAATCATTATTTTCGCCATCATTTCTCAGCTGATCCGCAGATTTGGCTAGGGGGGTGCGCGTGAACATAGCCCGCTTCAGGCCCTTGAACCACCATGATCGCGTGGCATATTGGTAGTGCATTTGCTTCACAAGTTTTATCTTTTTTTTGCCTTCGGGTTCGACTTTTAGCTAGTGAAACTCTTTTGCTTTTTGCTCTGTGATGCCAAATATGGCCTCAATAGCGTTAAAAACCAAAAAGCAAAACAGCTAATCAAAAAAAGTTCCGAACCCGCGTGCATATTTTGCAAAAGTTTGATAGGCGCCTGCACTATCCACTAGGCCACCATCTCATGCGGATGCTGGTGGCATTTCGGCCAATGTCCCGGGCCTGATCCATCTGTGGCCGCGTGGCGCCACGGAATTTTTTCATTAAAATTAATTTTTATCGAATACAATACACGGTTAGCAGATTTGAAAAACGACATCTTGCTCAGAATTTTTTTCTCTATTGAACTAGCTAGGTCTCGCTCAAAAACTCCAATATCACCTAAAAACGACTCCTTGTAAGACAATTTTCAAGTTTTTTTAATTACGGCGCTGATTTCCTACCAACAGTAGAGAGTCGAATAAAACACGGTGTTTTCTTGCCGAGCTCCGCCAGGAAATGAGCCTTGCAATATTTTGTGATGTCGTGCGTGATTTCGAGGAATCCGTGGGCACCTGAACGGGCCCATAATTTAAAATACACCATCAAAATAGCAAGGTATACCAAAAACGGACTGAAAAATCAGAAAGGCTCTCCTTCCTTGAATATATTTAGCTAGCCAAGAAGTTATCTGATGAAAAATCAAAAATGTCTTTAATTTCTCACCTCCACCCTTGGCGTGCGCAATCCTTTCCGGAATCCGTTCCCTGTCAAAATGCGCCATTTCATTCATGAAGACAAAGTCCTAAAACCCGAAAAATTGCCGTCTCTATCCCTTTCATGATGGACCTGCATTAGCATAGGCCCTCTTGGCCCAGCCGTCAGCACAGCTTTCTTCTGATGGACCGGAGCGCCGGCGCTGGTTGTGATGAAGCTGGGTTCCTGAAGTACGTTTTATTGCTACAGGGTTTTCAAAAAAAATCGGATCGCGGTGATTTTACACCATTCGAAAGCCCCCGAAACGGCGAAAAAACAGTGCGTTTTGTTTTACCCAATTTTTTAGCCGCACTTGATATTAAGCGATTTTTGAAAAAAAGTGTAAATCGTCCTGTTAGCTTGTTGCGAAAATCCGCAGTTTTCACGGATTTTGCTCCTAAAAACTAAGAATAGCGAAAACGACTAGTGTTTTTTCGGTATTTATGAATTTACAAAAACAGCGAAAGCATGTAAAAACACAAACCGGATTGTCCTGCCGGAACATCTCGAGCTGGACGTCGGATGGCAGCTTTTGGTTTGTTATGAAAGTCGGTTTCTCGGGCATTTTTCTGGAAATCAAATCGTATAAATCATGAGATGAGACAGGAAAATTAAGAAACAAACAAATCCAGCAAACATATCCAAAAACTGGAAACGGTCTTTTCCCGATCGGGCCTTAAAAGGCCGTTCGCGAGGGACCCGAAAAGGGCTTGGCACAGTTTTTTTGACCCCATTTTTTTAATGCCATCGGAAAGAGCATGTTCGAATTAGTAGGACTGCATAGTTTTGAAAGTTCAAAAAGTTAATTTTTATGGTTTAAATGGGCCTAAAAGTTGCCGACCACGAAAAACTATCTTGGAAGTTACTGAACAGAATTGGCTAAAAATTTGGGAATATACCTATTTTGAGATTGGGATCATTTCTCTAATACATTGCGAAGCCTGAAAATGACCGGAACATGGTTAAACTGCGTACTAAAAACCGTTTTTTGGGATTTGCGGCTATGCGGGCGATCGAGCGCCACTCACACGTGGTAGAGAAAGATGCGCGACATTTTTCTGCGTCGAATGACGTGCCAATTATGCGGCGCTCGATCGCCCGCATATCTGAAAAAAACGCGCTTTTTATGCCGAAAATGGCGATTTTAGTCGTTCTGGGTTTGGTGGGGTGAGAGAGTGCGGCGAGCGCAGAGGACAGAGACGGCTAGGGTGGTCAAGTCGGGGGCTCTCTGGCAGCACCTGACTCGCTCCCCCAGGGCTGCGGTATGCCTGTCTGGGCCCTCCGCGTCGCCCGCACTCTCTCGCCCGTCCAAGCCCCAGTCCGAACCCAAAATCGCCATTTTCGGCATAAAAAGCGCGTTTTTTCAGATATGCGGGCGATCGAGCGCCGCATAATTGGCACGTCAATCGACGCAGAAAAATGTCGCGCATCTTTCTCTACCACGTATGAGTGGCGCTCGATCGCCCGCATAGTCGCAAATCCCAAAAAACTGTTTTTAGTACGCAATTTAACCATGTTCCGGTCATTTTCAGGCTTTGCAATGTATTAGAGAAATGATCCCAATCTCAAAATAGGTATATTCCCAAATTTTTAGCCAATTCTGTTCAGTAACTTCCAAGATAGTTTTTCGTGGTCGGCAACTTTAACACCCATTTAAGCCATAAAAATAAACTTTTTGAACTTTCAAAACTATGCAGTCCTACTAATTCGAACATGTTCTTTCCGATGGCATCAAAAAACGGGGTCGAAAAAAAACTGTGCCAAGCCATAATGGGGACAGGTCGGGTAGCTGGCGGACGGCCTTTTAAATCCCTCAAAAGTGCAGGATACGGAGTGGATAAGGAAAACATTGGGAGTTTACAAAAAACCGGACGCTACTGGGGACGTGCTTTTTCCGTGAATTTTTTATCATTGGCGGTCTACTATAGTGAAAAATTATAGACGGTGGTTGTCAAGTACGGGGCCGAAAGTAGGGAGTGTTGTGGAAAACAACTGTAGGTGCAAAAAGGGTGTAAACCCCCGGGTGCGCTCTGAAGGCTGCAGATATCTAACATCAGGGCCGAAATTTATAGATTTGTTAGTCGTTAGTGCTTTTTTTGGCTTAGCTGAACTACTAAAAATATCTAAGGAGGTATCCCACGTGAAATTTTATGCCGAAAATCCCCTCAAACACAGATTTTTTTTCCCCGCGAGTTAGGTCGCCCGGATTACAGCCATTTTGTTAGCTGGTTTAGCTCAAAACTTGGTTTTGAATGTTGTTGCAAACTGGTCGTTTCAAGGGCTTTTGAATGGTGTAAATATGACTCCGGTAGTTTTCTATTTGGACACCCTGTACGACAACGTAACTTTCGATAAGGCCCCGTAAGGCGGCTTAAGTTAGGCTATCGTAAGGCATCGTACAGAGCGTAAGGTAGCGCATAAGTAGCGTAGTGCATCGGAAACCGGCGTACGATAGCGTAAGGTATCGCAATGGTAGGGTGAGGCTGCGTATCCTAAGGTACTGTAGGTTAACGTAACCTATCGTAAGGCAAAATAAGTTATCTTGTTTGTTGCCTCAAGCACGGTTTTACGCATCTCCTGTTTCCCTCGCCGGGGAATGTCTTGTCGCATTGTTTCTACATTTTAAAAAGTCCAAAAATCACTCGAAACCAATTTTTCCGCTTGAATCTCTCAGTTTATTTAAAGTATTGTTCTCAATATCCGGCCAAATTCATCCGTTTTTCTTATTTTCCTCAGCCTTGTTTATAGTTCCGCATTTCCGAATTTTCCAGAATAACCTGCAACTCCACGCTTATTTACCCCCAAGCAGTTGGCAGGGTAGTGGCGAGATACTACGCCCAGGTGAGAGATCCCAGACAGAAAGGGGTAGAGAGAGCGCGACCATTCGAGAGACTTCGAGAACATTCTGCCCTTTCCCGATCCCAGGCCCACTAGCCTATATAAGACAGGCCACGGGCCCAATTCCACAAGGTACCCAAAACTCGAAAAACACACAAAGCTACCGTACCCTACCCACAAAATGTCGCTAATTCTCTTCCCAACTTCTACACCATTCTATCACCGCCGTCAACTGCATCCGTTCAATCAGCTGATGCGTACGATGAACGCCTTGGAGCGCTCGTTTCCTTGGGCCGGACTGCTCCAAGACGCTTTTGGAGAGCTGGCTGAGGCTCAGAAACAGGTTGGTTATATTTGAGATTGAGCTAGGGATTTTATTTTATTTTTTTTGGGTACTTTGGGTTTAATTTTCTCTCTCTTGCTCGCCCCTCTCTCTCTCTTTCCCGAACTCTCTCGCTCTCTCTCTCTCTCTCTCTCTCTCTCTCTTTCTCTCTCTCTCTCTCTCTCTCTCTCTCTCTCTCTGTCTCTCTCTCTGGCTCTCTCTATTTCTCTAACTCTCTCTCGCTCTCTCTCTCTCTCTCTCTCTCTCTGCCTCTCTCTCCCTCTCTGTCTCTCTCTCTCTCTCTCTCTCTCTCTCTTCTGTCTCTAGCTCTTTAGGTCCACATTACTAGAGTTAATGTAGTCTAAAACGTACCTAATATATTTTAACCCGAATATTTCAGGTTTCCCTAACCGACAGCGGCTTCTCTGTCGGCATCAACGTCGGCGAGTTCAAGCCGGAAGATCTGAAGATCAGCCTCGTTGATCGGATGCTGACCGTAAATGGAGAGCACAATGAGGAGACTGAAGAGGTAAGCGTGAATTTTCAAAATTTAGACATCACCGTAGCCAAAAACTGCTTTTCTCTATTTTATTAAGATTTTTAAATTTTTTTAAATTACCGTAGCGTAAAATTAATCCTACTATATATAAAAAAATAGTGTCTGTGTGTGTGTGTGTATATTTGCATGCACTTCCGTTTGGATGTTCCGCACCTACAGCCTCGGGAAAGGGTTTTTTGGATAGGGAAGAAACGACAATAGGTTTAGAATGGTCCGGAATCGACTGCACACACATAAAAATTTTGAAAAATTGTGGTTTTCGCTATTAAAAATAGGTTTTTGTAAAACCCTGTTTGTTAGGGGAAATTAGCATGCGCCGGAAGTAGGAGGAGCCTATATAAAGGGACAGAGGAGCCGTTTTTCACTTTTTTTTTGCTAGAATTCAGGGAGAAACATGCAAATTAAGGACTTTCACAGGTCCTGGACGGGGCCAGGGTTGAAAAGCCGCGAAGCGGTTTTTCAACCCTGGTCTTTTTGAATTTTGAAATTAAGACATTTTAGATCTATCATAGAGACAAAATGACAGGAGATCATAGAGACCATATTTTTCCAGGGTTCCGTCCGCCGCTCGTTCTCGCAAAGCTTCCACGTGCCGGAGAACGTCGACATCGAGCAGTTCAGCAGCCATCTCTCTGAAGATGGGAAATTATGCATCGAAGCCCCACTTGTCGCCCCGAAACCTGTAGAACAATCCCGAGCCATCCCCATCCAACGTGTCGCTTCTGCTGCTCCAAAACTTGCTGATGCTCCTGAGAAACTGTAATTTCCCAATTAAATTGTAATATACCTAACTTTTCCGTGTCTCTTTCTAGCATTCCGGTTTTTCTTGATACGTTTAGCTACTGGATCTAATCGCAGTTTTGAGCACCATTTTTCCAACCTGAACCTTGTTACGGATATCTTGCAATGTATTGATTTGCCTTAATTTTATATCCTAATCTTCTCAATGTTTGCGATCTATTTATGTATTTAAATTTGTAATAAATACGTTGAGTTTCACTTGGTATCCGGAAAAACATTGAAACACTTAAAAGCTTTCGATAGAAACAGACGGCGCCGTAGATTAGGTTAGATTTTCTTGCCGAGCTCCGCGAGAAAATGGGCTTTACAATATTTTGTGATGTCGTGCGTGATTTCGAGGAAGCCATGCGCACCTGAACGTTAAGCGAACTGAAAAGACAATGGTAGAAAAATAAAGATATCAAACAATAAAATATAAAAGATTATACCAGAAATTTTTTATTACTCACCTCCTCCCTTGGCGTGTGCAATCCTTTTCGGAATCCGTTCCCTGTCAAAATGCGCCATTTCATTCATGAAGACAAAGTCCTAAAATTCAAAATTTGACGTAACCATCCCCTTAATGCACTTATCTGCATCAAAACCAGACCTGTTGGCCCAGCCGTCAGCACAGCTTTCTTCTCAGGGATCGGAGCGCCGGCGCTGGTTGTGATGAAGCTGGGTTCCTGAAGTAGGTAAAGTAGGCTTGATCAGACCGTTGGTAGCAGTCGTGCGTTTTGGAAATAAGGTGTTTGTCGATATTCAAACCATGCGAAATGTAACTAAAATTTTTATTGTCGTTTTTACACAAGTGTCAGCAAATTTACATTTTCAGAGATTAAATTTTTTACTGTTGTGAAAATGGGCAAAAGATTGAAACGTCAAAATAGAGCGGACTCGGCCGTACCTTAATGGCCAAAATCTCAAAAAATCTTTACAAAAATGACAAACCGGATTGTCCTGCCGGAACATGTCGAGCTCGACGTCGGATCGCAAACTTTGGTTCGTTTTGAAAGTCGGTTTCTCGGACATTCTGGAAATCGTATCGTACAAATTATATAATTTTGGGGTGTATCTCTGGGTGTGTGTGTGTGTGTCCGGCGCCAGGGAGGGCTACTGTCATAATTTCAAAAAATACAAATTTCCTCATTCTTGCAAGTTGCACGCGCGGGTGTGGTCGGAGGAAGGCAGGGGTCCGATGGACCCAAGCTATCGGAAAGTCAAATTTCTCATGCAAAGGCCGCATTCCAGCGCCCAAGGCCCGCGAAGCGGGTTTTGGGCGCTGGTCGTACAAACTAAAGATACAAATTTTGAAAAACTAACAAAAGAATGCAAAAAATAATATCGGAAAAATGGAAACGGTCTTTTCCCGATCGCACCTTAAATCCCATCAAAAAGTGCAGGATACGGAGTGGATAAGGAAAACATTGGGAGTTTACAAAAAACCTGACCTGGAGGGGAACGTGCTTTTTCCGTGAGTTTTTATCATTGGCGGTCTACTATAGTGAAAAATTATAGACGGCGGTTGTCAAGTACGGGGCCGAAAGTAGGGAGTGTTGTGGAAAACAACTGTAGGTGCAAAAAGGGTACAAAACCCCCGGGTGTGCTCCGAAGGCTGCAGATATCTAATATCAGGGCTGGAATTTAGAGGTTTGTTAGTCTTTAGTGCTTTTTCGGCTTACAAGGGAACCACAAGTTGACACGGTGGAATTTCGAAAAACGCTCGCGGCTACCCCTAGGTTTTCGACAACGGCGATTCCAACGCGCTAGTCAGAATTAGCTAAATCGACCTGTGGACAGAGATACAGCACTTCCGGAAAATGGTCAATTTACCATCGGAGGAATTAGCATTCACCTCAGGGTTTATGAGGGCTTCCCATCTCAGAAGAATCATCAGTTGAATGGCCGGGTGGTAAGCGGCTAGCTTGTTAGGATACTGACCAGGGTTCGAATCCGTTAACGACTTTTTTCTTTTTGTGTTTTGGACGGAACTTTGAGCAAAACCACAAGCTTCTTAAAAGCTCTCGTTCGTTTGAAAGGGGCCGTCGCATGAAAGATGCAATTTCAAAACGTTTTTGCAGGAATCGGCCTCATCACCAACGAATAAAAGCTTTACTATGTGAAAAAATCGAAATTCCGTCCAAAACGCAAAACAAAAAAGTCGTGAACGGATTCGAACTAATCTCTGTCCACAGGTCGATTTAGCTAATTCTGACTAGCGCGTTGGAATCGCCGTTGTCGAAAACCTAGGGGTAGCCGCGAGCGTTTTTCGAAATTCCACCGTGTCAACTTGTGGTTCCCTTGTTAGCTGAACTACTAAAAATATTGAAGGAGGTATCCTTCGTATCCTTTTCGACTTGAAAATTGGTGAGCGTATAGAGTTTGAGCTTGCGATTCCGATGCGCTAAAATTTTCAACAAATCGTCCATAGGCGGCTGAGAAATAACAAGTTTAATTTTGGCAAAAAATGCATGACTTTTGTGCGTTTCGTCCCCGCCGGCCCTGAACCGGGTGTGCGGAGAAGAGGCCTCTCTGGCACCCCTCCGTGATGGCAGCGTGGCCGAGAGGTAGTGCTCACAATTCCCAAATTTTTGGTCGGGGGTTCAATTCCGGCTCCCAACTTTTTTTAAAAAACCTTTTGAAAGTTTTTTCCCTAACTTTTTGCCTGCATTATTATTTTGTATTCTCTCTCGGAATCAAAGGAAAGCGGGCTGTGAAAATTCTCATCTGATAAAATGTCTTGCTCTGTCATAGAAATGCTCCAGAGCTTTTCCTGGGTTTCTTCATCCTTCACTACAGCATCCTAAAATAAACGCAAAAAGTTAGGGGAAAAACTTTAAGAAGCGCGCCCCGTTCAGTGCCGGCGGGGACGAAACGCGCAAAAATCATGCATTTTTGCCAAAATTAAACTTGTTATTTCTCAGCCGCCTATGGACGATTTGTTGAAATTTTTAGCGCATCGGAATTGCAAGCTCAAACTCTATAAGCTCACCATTTTTCAAGTCGAAACTCGGTGGTAAGTTGGAAGGCATCCCTAGTCAGAGGCTTGAGGCAAATTAGCTCGTATGCAACCCTGAAGAAACGGAAAGGTTTGCAAAATGGTTTGAATTAGCTGGTTTAGATCAAAACTTGGTTTTGAATATTGTTGCAAACTGGCCGTTTCAAGGGCTTTTGAATGGTGTAAATATGACTCCGGTGTTTTTCTATTGGGACACCCTGTACGTCAACGTAACTTTCCATACGGCCCCGTAAAGCGGCTTAAGCTAGGCTATCGTAAGGCATCGTACAGAGCGTAAGGCAGCGCTTAAGTAGCGTAGTGCATCGGAAACCGGCGTACGATAGCGTAAGGTATCGCAATGGTAGGGTGAGGCTGCGTATCCTAAGGTACTGTAGGTTAACGTAACCTATCGTAAGGCAAGATAAAGAATCTTGTTTGTTTTCTCAAGCACGGTTTTACGCATCACTTATTTCATTCGCCGTGGGAATGTCCTGTCGCATTATTTCTATATTTCAAAAAGTCCAAGAATCACTCGCATACCTAATTTTTCAGTTTGAATCACACAGTTTATTTAAAGTATTGTTCTCAATATCCGGCCAAATTCATCCGTTTTTCTTATTTTCCTCAGCCTTGTTTATAGTTCCGCATTTCCATCGAATTTTCCAGAATAACCTGCAACTCCACGCTTATTTACCCCCAAGCAGTTGGCAGGGTAGTGGCGAGATACTACGCCCAGGTGAGAGATCCCAGACAGAAAGGGGTAGAGAGAGCGCCGCCATTCGAGAGACTTCGAGAACATTCTGCCCCTTCCCGGACACCGAGCCCCTGGCTCTATATAAGACAGGCCACGGGCCCAATTCCACAACCTACCCAAAACTCGAAAAACACACAAAGCTACCGTACCCTACCCACAAAATGTCGCTAATTCTCTTCCCAACTTCTACACCATTCTATCACCGCCGTCAACTGCATCCGTTCAATCAGCTGATGCGTACGATGAACGCCTTGGAGCGCTCGTTTCCTTGCGCCGGACTGCTACAAGACGCTTTTGGAGAGCTGGCTGAGGCTCAGAAACAGGTTGGTTATATTTGAGATTCAGCTAGGGATTTTATTTTATTTTTCGGGGTGCTCTGGGTCTAGTTTTCTCTCTCTCGCTCGCCCCTCTCTCTCTCTCTCTCTCTCTCTCTCTCTCTCTTTCCCGAACTCTCTCTCGCTCTCTCTCTCTCTCTTTCTCTCTCTTTCTGTCTCTAGCTCTTTAGGTTCACATTACTAGAGTTCATGTAGCCTAAAATTTTCCTAATATTTTAACCCCAGTATTTAGGTTTCCCTAACGGACAACGGCTTCTCTGTCGACATCAACGTCGGCGAGTTCAAGCCGGAAGAGCTGAAGATCAGCCTCGTCGATCGGATGCTGACCGTAAATGGAGAGCACAATGAGGAGACTGAAGAGGTAAGCATACTTTTTCGATTTTTTTAAGGCTAACGTAGGTAAGCGTGAATTTTCAAAACATTTACAAACCACCGTAGCCAAAAACTGCTTTTTTCTATTTTATTGAGATTTTTAAATTTTTATAAGATTGCCGTAGCGAAAAACTGATCTTTTTGAATTAAATTATTTTTTTGAGAAATTTCAAAACTATCATCGAGAAAGAAAAATGACCTTATTTGAACGGGATTAACCATATTTTTTTCCAGGGTTCCGTCCGCCGCTCGTTCTCGCAAAGCTTCCACGTGCCGGAGAACGTCGACATCGAGCAGTTCAGCAGCCATCTCTCTGAAGATGGGAAATTATGCATCGAAGCCCCACTTGTCGCCCCGAAACCTGTAGAACAATCCCGAGCCATCCCCATTGAACGAGTCGCCTCTGCTACCCCAAAGCTTGCTGATGCTCCTGAGAAACAGTAATTTCCTTATTAAATTGTAATATACCTAACTTTTCCGTGTCTCTTTCTAGCATTCCGGTCTTTCTTGATACGTTTAGCTACTGGATCTAATCGCAGTTTTGAGCACCATTTTTCCAACCTGAACCTTGTTACGGATATCTTGCAATGTATTGATTTGCCTTAATTTTATATCCTAATCTTCTCAATGTTTGCGATCTATTTATGTATTTAAATTTGTAATAAATACGGTTGAGTTTCATAGTATCCGGAAAAACATTGGAAACGCAAAAGCTTTCGATAGAAACAGACGGCGCCGTAGATTAGGTTAGATTTTCTTGCCGAGCTCCGCGAGAAAATGGGCTTTACAATATTTTGTGATGTCGTGCGTGATTTCGAGGAAGCCATGCGCACCTGAACGTTAAGCGAACTGAAAAGACAATGGTAGAAAAATAAAGATATCAAACAATAAAATATAAAAGATTATACCAGAAAATTTTTATTACTCACCTCCTCCCTTGGCGTGTGCAATCCTTTCCGGAATTCGTTCCCTGTCAAAATGCGCCATTTCATTCATGAAGACAAAGTCCTATTTTAATATAAATTAATAAATTAATATAATTTAATATTTATATTATAAATTTTAATTTTTTTAATTCTTAAGCCTTGAAGATGCTATTATCTAAAAAAAGCATTAAAAATATCTTCATTAGCGTGCATCGGAAGGCGATGTAAAGTATCGTCAGGTTCCGTAAGGTATCGTATCGTATATGCAGGAAGCATCGACTATTATGGCATATCGTAATGTATCTTAAGGCATCGTAGCTTATCCTGAGGTAGTGTAAGTTAGCGTAAGGCATCGTAGCTTCTCATATGGTCCCGTAAGCGCAGGGTAATCGTAGGTATCGTATGTAGCGTAATGTAGCGTACAGCACCGCAAGTTATCGTGTCTTATCGTAATCTACTGGGTCGCAGCGTAAGCTACCGTAAGGTAAAAAACCTATCTGAATTCTGCCCCTAAACCCCGATTTCTTTCAGCACGAGTTGCATTCTGTTTAGCCGTTGTGTATTTTTAAAATTTCGAAAAGCACAAAAAGTCCATGCAAATCGTTGAGAAAGCGCTAAACTTTTCTTGGCTCCAGAATGTAATTTTGCTGCGTTTGATTTTCCCTGAATTTATGGCAAGCTCTTTTCATTTTCCTTCAACTTGTTTATAGACTCCCTTTCTACAGAATTTTCCAGAACAACCCCGCAAATCCACCGTATTTATCCCATGCAGCTGGCAGGGTGGAGGGAGATAGCACGGCCAGGTGAGAGACACGCGCCGGAAAGGGGTAGAGGGAGCGCGGACATTCGGGAGACTTCGGGAACATTCTGCCCTTTTCCCGGTCCCAGGCCCCTAGGTTATATAAGCCAAGCACCAGGTCCAATACCACAACTTACCGAAATCTCGAAAAACACTCTGAGCTACCGTATTCTACCTACAATATGTCACTAATTCTCTTTCCCACTTCTGCTCCATTCTACCACCGCCGTCAGCTTCATCCATTGAATCAGATGATGCGTACGATGAACGCATTGGAGCGCTCGTTTCCTTGCGCCGGACTGCTCCAAGACGCTTTTGGAGAGCTGGCTGAGGCTCAGAAACAGGTTGGTCATATTTGAGATTGAGCTAGGGATTTTATTTCATTTTTTTCGGGGTGCTCTGGGTCTAGTTTTCTCTCTCTCGCTCCCCTCTCTCTCTCCGGCTCTCTCTCTTTCTCTAACTCTCTCTCGTCCTCTCTCTCTCTCTCTCTCTCTCGCTTTTTTATCTCTCAGATCACAATACTAGAGTTCTGTCGTCTAAAACGTACCTAATATATTTTAACCCCAATATTTCAGGTTTCCCTAACGGACAACGGCTTTACTGTCGGCATCAACGTCGGCGAGTTCAAGCCGGAAGAGCTGAAGATCAGCCTCGTCGATCGGATGGTGACCGTAAATGGAGAGCACAATGAGGAGACAGAAGAGGTAAGTGCGAACTTTAAACGTTATTAAAACTACCGTAGCGAAACAATGTCGCATAGAGAAATTTACCTTGTTTTAACGGTATTAATCTCATTTTTCCAGGGCTCCGTCCGCCGCTCGTTCTACCAGAGTTTCCGCATCCCGGAGAACGTCGACATCGAGCAGTTCAGCAGCCACCTATCTGAAGACGGGAAATTGTCCATCGAAGCCCCACTCATCGCCCCGAAACCTGTCGAACAATCCCGAGCCATCCCCATTGAACGAGTCGCTTCTGCTACTCCAAAGCTTGCTGATGCTCCTGAGAAACAGTAATTTCCTTATTAAATTGTAATATACCTAACTTTTTTGTGTCTCTTTCTAGCATTCCGGCTTTTCTTGATACCTTTAGCTACTTGATCTAATCTCAGTTTTGAGCACCATTTTTCCAACATGAACCTTATTACGGATACCTTGCAATGTGTTGATTTGCTTTAATTTGTCTTCTAATTTTTCTTCATCTTCGCGATGTATTTATGTAATGAAACTTGTAATAAATTTGTAAAGTTTTAATTTGGTGTCCTGAAAAACGTTGAAACGCCACAATCTTTCGATCTAAACAGACAAAGTTGTAGATTTGCCCATATAAACTCTCATGTTATTAATTTTTTCGCATACGGAATTTGGGCATCATCAAACGGTAATTTGAATAAAAAAAAATCCCTTATGGCAATAAAAGTGGGGAAATTTTGTAAATTTCGGTCCCCAAAGTTCCTGAGAAAAACAACAACACTTCAGTTTCCCCGATCCGCCCAAGGGCGTTTTCCCAGCTGGAGAGAGCGAGAGCGAGAGAGAGAGAGAGAGAGAGAGAGAGAGAGAGAGAGAGAGAGAGACAGAGCGAGACGCTCGCCGTCCTAAAATGGGTTAGGCGCGCCACAACAGTTCCCTGTATACAGGATGGAATCGGAAAAAAGAGGAGAGATTGAGGAAGAGAGAGTGAAAAAGAGAACGAGAGAGACTGACAAGCCAAAGAAAAAACACATTGCATGAGCCATTGGGCGCTTTGTACTTTTCAGTCTCTCGCTCTCTCTTTCTCTCTCTTTCTCTCTCTCTCTCTCTCTCTCTTCTCTCTCTCCCGCTCTCTCTCTCTCTCTCTCTCTCTCTCTCTTTCTCTTCCATGAACCGTGGGGGGCATATGGAGATGGGATGGGATTGTTCCTTTCATCCCCTGTCCTCCTCCTCGAAAGTGTCCCTTTTTCGAGGCCATTCCACTCCTCTGGACGGCATCCCCACAAACGTAGCCCCAGGGCATGCCATCATGGGTGGCGCCGTGTAATGGTCCTGTAAGGAGATTATTGGCGGCACCTACAAGGAGTTCTTCTAGAGGATTTTTTAGGTAGGCAACCGGTTCGATGATGAGCATGGTGACGGGCTTGACTTGAAAAAAGCATTAATGTGAAGTGGTAGAAGATCAAAGCGGGGAAGGAAATCGGTACCGACGGCTTCAAGGGGATTTGGGCATCTCTGTCGGTCAGGCCTCATCCAGAATAGGCAAAAACCTAGCTCGTTACGTTATGAAAAAAAAAATAAGAGAGAGAGCGCGGCCAGGATATCGGCAGGAGAGCCGCCGTGCACTGAGTCAGCCGTTTTTGTAAATTTGCATGGGCCTTCCTGATACCCTTAATGCGGATCATTCGCGCTCGTTGAAGCATTTAAACCGCTGTCAAAGGCTAGATCTACCTCGCGAAGCGACTAGGTGTCGACAGCTACGTGTAAAGCCAAATGACGCGTAAAAGCGGGCTGAAAAATCTTAAAAATTCTGGTGCGCGCTGAATCATGCGGCTTTCAACTTTTTCAATGAAGAATCTGATATCACTTTGGACTTAAAGGAAGTGGTAAGGGCTGAAAGCAACCCCCACGACCCACTAGACTTCGACAGGAAAGGAATTGTGGCACTGAATTAGATGACGTAACTAGTTATCTTTTGCAGGCAACCATCCGTCTAACTTTTCTAAACGACGTACGTGGTACTTACATGTAACTTGGTAACTTGGTACGTGACTGTCGAGGCCTAGCCGATGGAACGGGTCGATTTTAAGACTTGCCAGGTTCTTTAGGGCGGCTGCAGCTTTTCCAGATTTTTATTTAAGTCTGGAGAAAATGCCACAATGGATCGACTTTTTGGTAAGTCTATAAACAAAAATCAAAAATTAGGCATTTTCTTGCATAGCTCACTGTTTCAAAAACCCGCTCGGTTCAATCTTTCATCATTCCCATTCCCCTCACAGGCTGAGAGTGACAATGAGCATGGTGACAATGCGATAATGGAAAGTCTTGGCCGCCCCGAGGTGGGTTGAGTCAGAGAGCCGACAAAAGTTTCCGAACAGTTCTGACCGAGCATTCCACTCACTTCAGGTGTTTCTCACTCGAGATAGCCTGCGGTTGCTGCCGCCAAATTTGCTACGTCACAGGGAGGGAGGGAAAAGCAGGAGTAGCATTGCGGGTCTGACTCAGGCTATCAATCGGGCAAAAAACGTACTGGAAAACTGGATGGTGCTCCGGTTTCCGGGCGGTTTAGGGGTTACGGTAATTTTTTTAATTGAACTGGGTTATAAATTTCCGGTTTTCTCGGAATTAAAGGGTTTACAGGAGCCAGCAAGGCAGGGTTGCAGAGTATTTGCATATGGATTTGTCCGCTCGTTTGGCTTTCGGCTAAGGCCAAACTTAAGCTTAGGGTCGTGCTCAAATTGGTGATAGGGTCGTACTTAGGCTTAGGCTACCGTTCGGCTTACGCCTAGGCTTATTGTCAGATTAAGCTTACGCTTAGACTTATTGTCAGGCTTATACTTAGGCTCATGCTCAAGCCGGGAATAGGGTTCTACCATGCCCTCGGCCTCGGGTTTGGCTTGGGTATGGGCCGACTTCGACGTACACTTCGGCTCCGTTTAAGCTTATCTTCGGCTTAGGGGTAGCTTAGGTTTGGGCTTATGTTCATTTCTATGCGTAAGCTACTCTAGCTGTTCCCCCAGAAGGACACTTCTTGCACACAAATTGGAACAGGTTTTTTCACGCGCCGGGATCCCGGTGAAAGGCCGGTAATTTGCCCCACAAGGGCGCGGCAAGCAGCACGAGAACGACTCAAAACCACATGCAATGCTACCAACTTAATCGGCCAACGAGTGCTACAAGTTCACCCCAACGGGAAGTGACTTTCGATCTGAGGTTTCGCAGAAAACACTTGGCAGAACCCCATTGAGAAAGAGAACTTGGCGAACCCGAGGCGAAGTCGAAGAAAAGCACCACTTTGACTCCCCAATATCGCCGCCCATCTCTTGAAATATGCCACAACTCTTTGCCACACGTTTTTGAGGGCGAATCGAATCTCGTTGAGGAATGGCCGGGGGGCTGGGCATGTTTTTCGATCAGCTGTGGTCAGGGCCGTAGCGATCCCCGATTTTGGGGGCAACTCCAAAAAAATTTTTTGGCAACGTATCAAAACTATCAAAAACAGCGCCGCAGGCGAAAAATTTTGAAAAACTTAGGGCTATGACAGTAAAAACAGTCTTAAAAACAACTATAAAAAGCGCCGCAGGCAAAAAAAATTTCACGAAAAAAAATCATAAGGGCCCCCCCTTATGAATTTTTCGGCCTTCGGCCGATTTTGGGGGGACACAACCGCCCATGAGTTCGGTCCCGATGGCTCCCGGGAAAAGGCGTACTGTACGGGTTTTTGCCTGGAGCGCGAAATAGCAGCATGATTTTAGCTGCGCAGGCTTGCTTTCGCAATGGCGCGATGCGTCCATCGCACGCGTTTTTCTTGGTTTCCGATTCTACCGGACGTTTTATTTGGCGCCGGGCCGCTGTGGGGAGGGCAACTTGCCCCAGTTGCCCCCCGCCCCTCCTACGGGCCTGGCTGTGGTGTTGTTTTTCGACGGGGGTCAGCTGGTGGTGTGCGGGTGGCAGGAAGCTACACCTGAGATATAGGCTCTAGATTTTGTCATTGGGCAGCGATTTTCAGTCTGAAAAGTATGGATATGAGATAGATCCTGCTCCATCTATAATTGGCAAATTTCCAACCGGTTAGGCTATGAAAAGCCAAGCGAGAGAGCAGGCAGAGCAGGAGAGGGCAGATAAGATTTTCGCCAAGTTACAGATTTTTTGATGTGGGCTGTCAAGGTCCCTTTAACGGGACAGGAAAGGCGAGTTTACGGGTTCGCTATGGATTTACGCGTCGCCTCATTTTTTACATACGGCGGCTTCGGCGCCCTCTACGGCGGCCAGGGCCGTAGCGATCCCCGATTTTTGGGGGTGGGGGGGCAACTCCAAAAAAAATTTTTTTGGCAACGTACCAAAACTATCAAAAACAGCGCCGCAGGCTAAAATTTTTGAAAACTTAGGGCCATGACAGTAAAAACAGTCTTGAAAACAACTATAAAAAGCGCCGCAGGCAAAAAAAAATTTTTGTTGAAAAAAAATCATAAGGGTCCCCCCTTATGAATTTTTCGGTCTTCGGCCGATTTTGGGGGAGCAGCACTGCCGGTGCCCCTCCCCCTCTACGGGCCTGACGGCCGCCCATCGCATGCGCATTGCGTCGCGGCGCGGCAAATTTTGTACAGAATCGACAGCTAATAATATTAACCTAGCTCTCATAAATCACAGTTAATAAATCCTACTATATATAAAAAAATAGTGTTTGTGTGTTTGTGTGTGGACACTTTGCATAAATGGCTCGAAAAAACCGGGTTACCAAGATATCGGGAACGGGGGAGAATTTTAGGACCGGGTCGAAAGGTATTTAGGGGTATTCGAGGGCGTACTGCAAGCTTATCAGATTTTTAATAAAATGACGATTTATACCTTATTTTAGCGATTTAAAAACATATGGAAATAATTTCATTTGCATAAGAGGCGTTAGGAAGCTCATTTCGGATTTTGTCACGCTCTCAGTCGGTCGCTTTTGTGATTATTAGGGTTGAGAGATTGGCACTAATTCGCTAGAATTATGCAAAGTGCCCAGCTTCGAGAGATCTCCGCGCAAAGGCCAGGGGTGAAAAGCCGCGTAGCGGGTTTTCAACCCTGGTCACATTTAATTTCTTTTCATCGGAGCGCAACCTTGCAGTTTTCTGCGTCATCAGTTTTTCTCTCACAAAAACTTTCCCATCATGACGACACATCGGCGATTTTCCTCGAAAGCACGCAAATTTGGGTGGAAAAAAGAAGAAACCCAGGAAGAGAGAAAGAGAGGGAGAGAGAGAGAGAGAGAGAGAGAGAGAGAGAGAGAGAGAGAGAAAGATACCCCGGAAAAAGGATGCCGGAGGGCAGGGAAGGAAAGGGGCGGAGCCGCTTTCCCTCGTTGCCCTCGGAACGAAGTACCGTATCCGCGATGTGTCTTCCCTATAAAGCGACCCCAAGGGCATCCCGCCCGGTCACATTTTTCGGCACGGCCAGCCGTCTCTGACAGCTTTCCTTGGAGTTCCTGGACGCCTTTTTCTTAGCTTTATAGTGGTCCGGACGTCAGGCGTCCATTTTTTTAGCTTTCGGGCGACAGTTTCCAGATTTTTCGTAACTTCCAGTGGCCTTTTAAAAATGTGTTTGTGGATTGTGTTTGTGGATTTAAAATTGTGTTTGTGGATTGGCTGTTTATTTCGGCTTTAATTTGTATCCAGAAGTTAAAAGAACGACTTCGGAAAGTTCTAAATTAGAGCTATGCTTGGTTCAAAATCGTTCAATCATTTTTTTTCTGTCCGCCTGCTTTTCACTCTTCAATCGTTTTCCGGTACTTGCTTATTTATATTCATGATTTCCAGCTCAAAAAATGCTCCTCCTCCTCGCCCTCCTTCCCCTTTCAAGCGCTTTCCTATTCGGCGGCGGCGGCGGTTGCGGTGGCGGATGTGGTGGAGGATGCGGGTAAGATTCTTTTTAGTCAGATAAATCCTTAAAAATGAAATAAAAAGGTCAAACTCCTCTAAAAAAAGATTCAACAATTTAAATTCCAAGAATACCTTCGCTTTCCGTCCAGCTAGGGGTCAGCGCCGTTTACGAGACGAAAATTGCCGGGCTTATATAGTTCCTAAAGACCGGTCCAGCGACCGGTGTTATGCGAGGTCTAAACATTTCGATGAGTAATGTAGACGCTCTGACCAAACTTAAGGAACAAAACGTTATCTTATTAAAAAAATCTAAAGTTATTGGAATTTTAGGGATTTTTCTCATATACTATTTCAAACTTAATGACTTTCACCCCCACGTCTCCTGAACTTTTACTTTTTTTTATATAACTTTCTTAGGCCGAGTTTTAAAATCCGAATAGGTAAAAATAGCTGATTGTGGTTTTTCACTTGATTTAACTTACATTTTCAGATGCGGTCTATCCCTCCCTCCACCCCCGAAGCTCTGCCTTCCCCCTCCTCCTCCGATGCCCTGTCTCCCTCCTCCACCACCACCATGCGGATGTATGCCACCAATTAAGCTACCCTCTCTCTGCCTTCCCCCGATGCCCTCACCATGTGGATGCGGAAGGAAGAAGCGGTAAGTTTAAAGATTTTTAGCTCTTCTAAAACCTGTAAAATCTCCGAAAAGTATATCCTACTATATATAAAAAAATAGTGTCTGTGTGTGTGCATTTGCATGCAACTTCCGTCAGGTTGTCCGGGGGATATTTCAAGAGAGGAAGGGCCATAAGCTACATATGATACGTCATTAGGTGCGTAATTGCCTCAAGATGACTGCACGCTTATCAGATTGCGCAAAATGTGCTATTTTAGAAATTAAAATCAAGTTTTTGTTGAAAAATCGGATCCCCTCTTTGCTAAGAAATAACTAGCATTCACCGGAAGTGGCGGGAGCCTATATATGAGAGAAAGAGTGAAGTTTTTCACTTTTTCTCATCGAAATTCATAGGTCGTATGCAGAGTGAAGAATATTATGAGGTTAGACAGGGCCAGGGTTGAAAAGTCGCGAAGCGGCTTTTCAACCCTGGTATTACACTTTATTTTAGTTCCGTTCTTCTGGTGAAGTCATCCACCGCTGACCAGACCTGCAACAGCCCCGCTGCTCAAGCCATCCTCGCCAAGGTACGGTAATCTGCTAGAAATCGGGTTTCTGCTGTTGTACTTCCTACTGGGATTCCCTTATAAGAGCTAGGAAGCGCGAAATTCGTTACTTTACTCCACTAGGTATAGCAAACAAAATCTCGACATTTTTTCAAGCTGTCACACTACCTTAAATACCCGAAACCAAGGTGCGATTCGACGCCGTACTTTGACTAGGTCTAGACAGCCAAACAAGACTCTAAAAACGCGCAATGGAACGATAAAATAAAGCATACTATTGCCTCTTTGGAGCATTTCCTAGCTGTCGACACCCAGGCGTTGGAAGGGGGTTGATGATGCGCCTTTCTATCCCCTTTAAAACATACTTTTAGCACCTCGACACCCTCGAGGATTACACCAAAGTTGCTGACATCACCGCCCCACTCCACAGCGAGCTGGCCGCCCGGACAAACGGCCGCTGGCTGGTCCTCTGCGGTCCCAACACTGACGTTCCGGCCGCGTGGAGGTAATTTTTGGGATAGGATACGATACGCAAGCTCAAAATACGGTGCGTTACGATGCGTTACGATACAATACGCTACGCTACGGTCGAAACTTGACCCTAGAACGCAAGGCTGATGTTATAAGTACGGGGTGATATCTATTTTACGCTGCGCCAGGATACCTAACGTTTTGTTTCGGTAAAGCGCGCTTTCGTGATGATACATCTTAAAAATAGCATAAGTTAGGGTATCGGGCGATAGTTTCGACTCAAAAAATCCGTTACGTTACGATACGCTACGATACGCTAGGTTACGATGCCAGATACCTACACTACGTTACATTGCAAAATAGATTCTAGAATTCGAGGGATACGCTAATTTGCTTTTTTTTTAGGGGTGACGCCACGCAGTTCTGCTCGGTGACGCACAAGCGGACGACGTGCCACGCCTTCCAGATCGAATAAGGCCGACCAGAAGATGTTTTTCTCATAGTTCGATTATCTGATTTGACCTCACTTATTTTGCTTTTGCTCATTTCTCAACATGTTTTTATGTGATTGATTGTTGTACATATATGATCTTCATTTATTCGCCTCTTCCCCTGATTTGGGGCGAGGTTGGGATAAAGGTTTTAAAGTTGGAAAAAGAGCATACCAATAGAAAAACTAAAAGGCATCAAAAAAAGGAAAAGGTTATAAATCTACTATCCAGAAACGGTCGTAAAGGGGCCAGGAAGTCCAAAAAACGACCCCTTAGACCGGCTGGGTCCGGACACTACCGAAAATGTGAAAAGACGGTTGTAAGGATAAATCATTTTTGCTTTAACGTAATTTCCATAAGCGTATGGCTTGTCGAGAAGTTTTTGTCGAGCCAAGGGTCGATTTCGCAAAGTATGATTTCTTTTAAATGCAAATTAAGAAATAGAGGAGAATGCGAGAGAGCTAGCGAGAGAGAGAGAGAGAGAGAGAGAGATAGAGAGAAAGAGAGGGAGGAAAGAGGGCGAGAGAGAGCGAGAGAGAGAGAGAGAGAGAGAGAGAGAGAGAGAGAGAGAGAGAGGGAGAGAGCTGGAGAATTTTTCTAGCTATGAAATGTACCCCAGAAATTTATTTTCGTTGGCTAGCACGTTTTTCTGGCCATTCAGCTAAAGCCTAAAGTCCACCGGCCATTTTTCCTGGTTTTTGGAGAGACCGGTAAAACTCTGTAGGCATTTTGGGATTGGATTGGGAGCAATGATCCGGGCGCGCGACCGGGGCCACTTCGGCTAATCTTTGAGGACTACACGCCATTCCGCTGCCCATCCGTCGAAGATCCGGGGCGGGCGGGATTAGTCGGCCGGTCTCGCGCTAGCTGGTTGAGTGCACTCCTGGGCGCAGGATCGTGGGGATTTAGTGCCTGTTTTAGATTTCTGATATGCCGGAAAATGCAGCATTGTCCGGTACTACTGTTAACGGGTAACTCCTGGCGAAGCCTTAGCTAAATTCTTAGAGCTGGGCTAAATTTTTTTTCGGGTTTTTTTGCGGTTAAAAATCTAATGTTGTCAAAAAATTAAAACGACTGACAAGGGAACCCCGTTGGACACGGAATTTCGAAAAACGCCGCGGCTACCCCTAGGCTTCGGACTATGGCGATTCCAACGCTCTAGTCAAGAATTTTAATGGGCCTGTGGACAGAGATACACCACCTCCCGGAAAATGATACAGACATCCAAATATTAGCATTAGGTTTAAGAGGCTCTCCCATCACTGAATCACCAGTTGAGTGGCGCGAGTGGTAAGGCCTGCTTCGATAGGACTTGACGAGGGTCTCGAACCCGCACGCGATTTTTTTATTTTGCGTTTGGACCGGACTTTTGAATTAATTAAAATGTAGTAAGGTATATAATAAAATAGTTAAAAATAAAGATAGTCATTTCACGCAAAATGTTTAAAACCTGTAAAAAACTTCAAACATTGGAAGAAAATGTATGCAATGATACAAGTCAAGGCGTAATTTAGAATGCGTAACGATATAAATTTATCAATAGTTATTCTTCATGTCGTCAGCACAGCGACTGCACAGCTCCCTGATTGCATCGACCTTCGGCGCACGACCACAACCCGAACAGAGAGGGCCCGTCGGATACGAATTGTTCCCGATGATGAGGCCCCTAAAGTTTGTCAGGTCAATTTAATAATGAAAGCAGCTAAAATTATTATACATGCCGGTGGATTCGGTTCTGGTTCATTAACGGGGGCGTCATCCGGGGAGGGGCGGTTTAATGCCGTTGCTTTTTCAATATTTCAGAATTTTTATGGACCATTTGAGTGCCACCCGGAAGAGCATAAAAAATATACTAGGATCTTAATTTTACACAAACAATATTGTTTAAGAAAGTTATAACTAACAGAAAGCAAAATATCCCTGAAAATTGGGTTGGTATGCTATTTTTTTGGGATTTTCGGCATTTTTCCAGATTCTGTTAACACTATTGATTAGAGAATCAAAAAATAAACGAAGTGTTTCATAAACAGCAAAAAAAGTAATTTAAGATAAGGTAAGCTGCTGCCGAAATTCGTAATGTCGAAATTTCATAATGTCGAAACTACCCCAAACTACCAGTTTACAAAGTTAAAGACGGTTTTATTCATTTTTGGGGTCCGGGAGGGCACGGTCATCATGCGAAAAAATACAAATTTTCTCATTCTTGCCAGTTGTACTCGCGCGTATGGTCGGGCGGTGGGGGGAGGTCTGCAGGACCCGAGCTATCAGAAAATCAAACTTTTCATGCAAGCGCGGATTCCAGCGCCTAAGGCCCGCGAAGCGGATTGGGCGCTGGTTTTGGAGCCATAACCCGATGATAGCACTTCACGCAAGAATCAAGCAATTCGACGGAAGCGCATGCGACGCGGACGCTATCAGCAAAGACACAACGGTCAACTCACGTCTCGGAATACCGGCAGACGAATATCACCCTCGTCCCGCCATCACAAAGCGTACCGCCGCAGCCGACTAGCTTTAGGTTCCACCAAATCATCTGAAAATCAGCAGTATTCAGGGCAGTTTCAGATTTGTAAAATCATTTAAAAATAGAAAGTATAAAACCTGCGTGGCATTCCCTTAATATTCCCACTTGCAAACCCCACGTCAAACACGGTGCGTGTACTATTTAATTTGCTGCAAAGAATACAATCATTTAAAAGCGCCGAAGGGGCTTGACGTAAGTCTATCGGCCCACGTCTCGATGGCCGGTTTTGGAGCGAACTCGAAAAATAAAATAAACTTATATAGGATTTTCGAATTTTACTAAAGGACCAGGCTGAGAGCTGCTCGTGACTTCTCAACCCTGGCCCCGTCTGATCCGATGATATTTTTCAACTTTGCATAATTTCTACCATCGATGACAAAGATCAGAAACGTTCCCTCTCTTGCCTTATATAGGCTACCGCAACTTCCGGCGTATGCTAATTGTTTCCTAACAAAGAGGGTGGCCCATTTTTCAACAAAAACTTAATTTTAATGTCAAAAACAGCTCATTTTTGAAAATTCCATTGGTGTGCAGTCATTCCCAGGCCATATACGCACCCACGACGTATCAAACATGCGCTCAACTACCCTCCTTATTGAGATACTACTGAACAACCTTGACGGGAAGTTGTATGCAAATGCACACAGACACACACACAGACACTATTTTTTTATATATAGTAGGATAGAATCGGTTAGCCAGATCAAAAAAGCTAAAAATTTCTTGCAAATCGAATTATGTTGACGCTAAAGCTATGGTAAGAGTTTGCTTTACCCCACCCCCCCCGGCCGAAGGGTCTCAAAGTTCAGGCATTTTCGCTAAATTTGACGGGATTTTTGTGACGTCATTCGATAGAGCGTCGAAAAATATACTACGAGTTTCAATTTAAGCCTCCATGTAAAATAACAAAGTTATAGCTAAAACTCTAACCGGGGGGGGAGTAAAGTAAACCGTAGCCAAAGCGATAGAGCATTTACGCGGATTTTCTTAAATCTCAAAAAATTCTACCATTAATGATCTGCTGTTCGCTGCCAGCAACCATAAACTGATTCTCCCCATAGAGGTAATCTTTGTTCAGTGTGTACTAAAAGGCATCACTTTCAGCCGACAGGAATTTTGGGGAACTCACCTGACTACCGCATTTGTCGGTGTGTTTCTGGGCCTGATCGGCTAGAGTCGGGCTCCAGTCCTGACAGAAAAACGAAGGTTTTCGAGCTAATCCTGAGCTGGGCCTAAGCTAAGCCTAAGGGCAAGCCTAAGCCTGCTGCTTCCGAGCTACCTAAGCTAGCCTCAAGCTAGCTCAAACTAAGCCTAAGCTGCCTGCTGCTCTGCTGCCTGCTTGCCAAGCTAAGCCATACAGCCTCAGCCAAGCCTAGCTGCTTCCTGCTCCTCAAGCCTAAGCTGCCTAAGCTGCCTAAGCTGCCTGGCGGATCTGGCCAGCAGGCTGATGTCTGGACGACATTGGAGCGTTCTCCGTGCTTGTTAACGAATCTCCTTGCGCCACCTTGCCCGCAGATCGTTGCAGCAACTGGAACAAGGCTATTTCTCGCTATCGCCCTCTCTCTCTCTCTCTCTCTCTCTCCACTACATTCCTCGCCTCTCGCCTCTCTCTCCTTGCTCTCTCTCCCTCTCGCCCGCTCTCTGCCTCTCTATCTCTCTCTGCATGCTATGGCTCTCTTCTCTATCTATCACTCACTCTCTCTCTCACTATTCTCGCCTCGCCTCTCTCTTTCTCTCTCCCTCCTGCCTGGCTCACTGCCTCCCCATCCCTCCGCGCATGCTATGTCCTCTCTTCTATCCTCACTGCCTCTCTCTATTTCTCGCCTGCCCTCTCTCTCTCTCTCTCTCTCTCTCTCTCTCCTCTCTCGTCTCTATCTCTCTCTCTTCTCACTCTCACTCACTTTCTCTCTCTCTCTCTCCCCTTGCTCTCCCTCTCTCTCTCTTAAAATACAAAAATTACCATACCCTAACTATTTTCGTCTGCTCTTCCCTCTGAGAATATCGGTGCCGGAGTCTGAGAATATGCCAGCGCCATCAGAAAACCCAGAATTGGCAAGCATAATCGGAGTCCCGCTTTTGAAACGTTGGGGGATTTCAGAATCTCGCAGAGAATACGATATTTCTGGGGAATTCACTGCCTTTTATGCGAATCAGCGCTTTTCCCTCTGTTTGTTATTGAGGAAAGTATCGATTACGCAATCAAATATCACATCCAATTCGGAATTTGACTGAGAACGGTACGGTATTGGACCCTTAAACGTATCACTTTATTGGCCTGATAGTTTAGGCACCGTTTCGGGCCAAAATTTTTATTGGGAATTCTGGCTCCAACACGGCGCTCCATTTCCGCAACCCGACACGCTTAAAGGTGCTGACACGCTAAATGCGATGGCTAGCAGTTCTAGAAACAAAATAATTAAAACAAGGAAAGTCGACAATATGTTAGAGCGGTGCTAATGCACTTGGGGGGCAGTCCGGATTTTGACTACAAGACGCTCCAAATGCCGTTTTTTAAAATAGAAGCCTCTGGCAAAGCTAAGCTAAGCATAAGCCTAGGCTTAGCTTCATACCAACGACGCCTAAGCTTAGCTTGAGCCAAGCTGAGCTTAGCATTAGGCTAAGCCCTAAAGGACCTCATTTTGACCATGTAAGTCAATTTAAAGCTCAAGATAAGCGTAGTTTGGGCTTAAGCTTAAGCCTAAGCCGTAGATAAGCCTAGTTAAAGCTAAGTTAAGCCTATGCTGAAGCCAAAAAATAAGTAGCTTAAGCGGAGCGCCACGTAGCCTCTTACTACCAATTGGGACTGTCCCCCCCCAACTGCATTAGCACCGTTAGAGCGAACCATAAAAATTCTTGCTACCAAAGTGTGTACAGTGTGCCGCAATTAATAAAAACACTCCCTTTAACCAAACACAGAAGTATTGGATCGGTATGCCAGTTATACCATTCGAAAGCCCTTGAAACGGCCAGTTTGCAACAACCTTCAAAACCATGTTTTTATTTAAACAAGCTATCTATTTTTTTGGCGATTTTGCCAACTTTAAAGCCTCATAACTTTTCTCTCCCTTTTATTAAGCAAATTCTGATTACAGATTCGGAATCTCCCTGTTCTCCCTGTAGAATCTGTTCGATTCTATCGAATCCACTTTCTCTCGTGGCGAAATCCCACCGTCAAGTCGTGCACTTCCTTAGTAAGGTATGCAAAAGCAGATTTTCAAGCTTCGATAATGGTCGTATAATACTGTATTCGGTTTTATTTATGAATTAGGTCCGCACCATGTGACATCAGCCTCAAGAGTTGGGCATAGCGACGTCAGTTTGTCATGACATTCTCTAACCGCCATTTCCGGGCACTTCGAACATTTACCGGCGAGCTTTGTTATTTTTGTATAGGCGTCCCCGTTCAGCCAGTTGCCGCTGAAATGTGCTTAACCTTAGCCAAGTAGAATTACACAAAAAAAAGAAATAGAATTAGGATAACGTACGCGGGATCGTAGTGGCAGACGAACATCAGTTTTGTTTTATTGGCACAACTCGCCAGTCCACAACCAATCTTTTTCGTTCTGCCCCAGATCATCTAAAAATTAGCAATTTTTTTGTGAATTAGAGTTTTGTGTAAAGGGGCGCCGAAATCTGGTCCACGCCCCCAGCGGTGATTCCTGGCAAATAGCAAGGTGCGGCGGCAGTGCGACCGCGTCGCACGTTCTTTAGTCCCTGTTTAGTCGAGTTTCTGGGACCATGACAGTTGCGCAACGACGTTTGAGAAACTCGGGAAAAACGACATTTGAGCAACAGTGTTTTCTTAGTAAAGGCGGGAAAACAGGGTTGCTCAAAGGTCGTTTTTTGCCCCAGTTGCTCAAATGTCGTTGCGCAACTGTCATGGTCCCTAGTTTCTCCGTCACTGTTTGCTCTAGTCCGCTTGAATTTCAAAATACTGGCATTATTTCTGGAGTTCTCACGCAATTTGATTCCTTCTATTCGTTTTAATTATGAAAACTGACTGGAGGATCACCGAGTCCGTGAGATTGGGTACACAGCGTTCAGATTACTAAGAAAAAGGTTCGTCGGGCGGGAACAGGTTCGGAGAGGCGAGAGAGTGGGCGGGGGGTGGAGAGCCCAGAGACCCTATCTGTTCTCTGCGTCTCTGCCCGGCGGCCTCCAGCCTCTTTTGGCCGCCGGTCGCAAAGCGTGCCCCAACCACCGTTGACCGCCCCCAGGGTGCCTGCCATTGGGTCTGCGCTCCGCATGGTGTACCCTTGGGGCCCTCCTTTTCTGAATCATGTGGGTACCCTCCAAAGCATTACAGCATGTAATCTGAGCTATCAAACCTACCTGCGGTGCGTGCTTGACCCCTCGATCATGGGTTTCTTTGGTGAACTCCGGGAAATCGGGCCAGCCATATCTCTGAAAATGAAAAAATAAATAATAGATAAGCGATATCTTCTTAAAAGGTTACCTCAATTTCTCCAGCCCACGCCTTGGCAGCGGTCAGGACGACTAAACATAGGGTTTTATAATATCCAAATTTTGACATGAATTTTATGTTTTGCAGTTTTAATGCAAGGAATCAAACAAAGCAACCGTATTTGAAAATTCGAAGAATTAATTGAATTTTTTCTTACTATTCGTATCGTTCGCATCGCCGAGGAACATATTTTGGTTGTAGACCGCCAATTTAACCTGAAAATACCGGAATATACTGTATATCTGCGTATTTATTTATATATATTTACCTTGCAAAATTAATCGAGAATAATTTTTCAGATTCACCTGAAATTCGCAGGCCTCAGCGGCGATTTGGGCGCTTTTGAACATTTTGCAGTCCAAAAACTAAAAATCTGATTGTAACAGGTCACACAGCATTTTTCAGGTTTAAAAGCTTTTAAACGTTTTGCAGGCCCTAGGTAGCAATCAGGCAAACCGGTTTCAGATATAAGAAGCTCTGAAAACTCAAATCCTTTTCGAAAATTTTTTGCAAAAATTGCGGGTCAAAAATGTATGAAAATGTGCAAAAAATACGAAACTTTCTGAGTTTTTTGGGCAACAATGTATGAAAATGTGCAAAAATACCAAAACTTTCGCGTTTTGAAAGTTTTTTAAAATATTTTTGAGGTAACGTTGTAGCAATTAAAAATATTCAAAACCTGTTACCCTACCAATCGGATCATATCCGTCGCCACGGGCAACGTGAACTTGGTCCCGTTGAACGTGTAGGAAAAGTTGCCGGCGGCCACCTCGTTGCGCAGGTTGTTGTGAAACTAAATGCTCCTTTGAAAAGGACGGTGAAGCCGGAAAATCGGCCCGGTTTATGACTAGGTATCGACAGTCATGCGAAACACCAGGCGACGCTGAATCTAGTTGTTCGGGTTGCTAAAAATGCCCTTTTTAGGCGTCTTTTGGAGTGTCGCGGAGCTGCCGAGACCCAGTAGACGTAAAGGGGTAGATACTCCTGTTTTCTAGTCACTTTAATCTCCAATTGTGATGCGAAATTCTCAGGTTGTTATTGTAAATAGGTAACAAGGTAATAAACTAACTTAAAAAAACGACTCCATTATAAACCTGCCAGTTTTCAAAAATATTGTAAAACTGTTATTTTACGGAATCGAAACTGACCTCAAGGATTTGCTGCTGTTGTGCATAGCTCAATAGAGATCCTGTCAAGCTGATTAGCACAGCCAAAATCAAAAGCTGCAAAGGCTTGAGGACCGCTGACATTTTGATTTGAATTAAAACCGCCGGAAGGCAGTGCGATTTCAAGTTTTATAAAGCCTAGGGAATGGACCGTACAGCTCGGGTTTTTAATATCATTATAAATTCAAATAATATTCATCAATGTGGCTGTTGCTCTGCGCCAATATGAAATTTGGTAGAATAAAGCTTGACGTGCGCCATTTGCAGTTATTGAAAAGCTCGAAGTTTTAAATATTGGTCCGTCACGCATAATTTTTTTGAGGTTTACACTACCCCTACAAACTACATTTGTATAAATCACGATTCGTTTATACCGCAAATAACTAATAGAAAATTATTATTGGCAAAGTCCCAGTCGAGAATCGCAGCTCGTTCCGCTTGGGCACTTTGAGCATCTCGTGCCGGCAGAGTAAGCGTTTTGATTCAGGTAATTTCCTCTGAAAGCAGTGAATTGGAGAAAGAGAGAGAGAGAGATGAGAGGGAGAGAGAGAGTGAGAGATAGAGGTAGAAAGAGAGTAGGGAGAAAGAAAGCGGCGAGAGAGTGAGAGTGGGGGAGAGAGAGAGAAAGAGAGAGAGAGAGAGGAGAGAGAGAGAGAGAGAGAGAGAGAGGAGAAAGAGAGGGCGAATGAGGGAATTCGTAAATCGTTCTTGAAGCTAACTTACTGCTTGCTATACTGACACACGACGAACACCGATTTTCCGTTCTGACATTGCGTGGCACCACATCCGATTTTACTCGAGGACGCCCAGGCCATCTAAAATCATCTGTTTTTCTTAATTTGAGCTAAGAGCCAAAACAAAATAACAGATCGGAACCTAATAAGAACTCCAAGGATTACCTGCGTTGCATGCCCAATTCCGCTATTAAAAACGTTCATATCGAAATACGGCACTCCGGGCCAGCCTTTGTCCTGAAAAACATTGGCTAGGATTTTTGAAGCTTCGACACTTACCGGAAATTCCTTCTCCCACGCGTTGCTGGCGGCTTTTCCTAGAAATAATTTTAGCTAGCTGAATAGCTCTCAAAGGATACCAATATTTTTGTTTAAAGAAAAATTAAGCGATACCTTGACCACGAATCGGTAGTGTGTTCGAGCTAGAGGCCATGTAGATATTCTCGCCAACTCCGTTGGTGCCGGAATGCTGGAAAATCGAGCATGATCTCTTTCGCCTTCTTTCGCTCTCGCTTTCTCTCTCCCTCACTCACTCTCTGTCTCACTCTCTCTCTCTCTCTCTCTCTCTCTCTCTCTCCCTCTCACTTTTTCTCTCTAACTTACCGCAAATTGGCATCGGTTTGCCCAGTTTTGAGCTTGTGATTCGAGGCCGGAGTCCCATTTCTGAAATTCAATGTTTTTTAGTATTTCATGAACTTTCATACTACCACAACGACAACGTTCATATATGAGCTAAATTTTGCATCGGAAAGCTACCATTTTCGTCATATCCGCAGCTGCTGGGAAAGTCTTGGACTTGGCGGTGTAGAGGCCGAGGGCAATTCGGGATCGCATGCTGTTATGGACCTACAGAATACCGGATAACTCTGCTTAAAAGGTATTAATAAGGTATATATTCCTTATCGGATCCTCAACTATACTTAATTAAGGAATAATTTTTGACAGGATTTAACTTAAGTCTATCTCCAACTTACATCGAGTATCTCGTCCTTATCCGCCTGCGCAAACGCGGCCCAACAGGTTGATGGTAATGTACAGAGGAAAAGGAACAGCTTCATTTTCTAAACTTGCGCGAATATACCTAACTTACATTGCTGAACGTGTAATCAAATCCATAGAACGACTGAAAATAAAAAACTTAAACGAGACGCCGAAAGCACCAAATGTGACTTTAAAAGGGGCTAGGAAATATGGTCCTGGTAACTAGCCAGAGATGGCCGGAACGCGACCGCGCCGCATCTTCTCTAGCTGTTTTTTGGACGTGAAAACCTTTGAATCACGCAATTCTGATGCCATTTCAGACGAATTTTGACTAGACAGCCCCTTTAAAAATTGTTAATAAAACCCTAGAGGCTTGAAAAAACACACATCGGGAAAAAATCGGCTAGCTTGGGGTACTTTCTGTACTTCAAAACTGGCTGACTAAAGTCTTCTCGACCCCCGTTTAAATACTGTAGTAGACAAATTCCATGTGAACGGTCGGGGCGCGTCTAGAGCCGAAATCGGCTTAATTTTCGGTCTATCCCCGTTGATAAGCGTCGACCAAGCACCAGGTAAGCCCCGCGTGGAACGCTGATAAAAAATTAAATGTTTTGGCGGAAGTTGCGTAAAAAGGCACGTCTCTGTTGGCTTTAGGCTAACGAGCGGAAGACCATGGATCAGTCAGCAGTTCATTTCCGGTTGGCATCTGCTGGGCTGCTTGATACCTCTAAAAATTGGCGAGATTTAGTGAGTTCTTTGCCTCATTTCGCGATTGTTGATCCGCCGCAATACGCAGCGCGTTCCCCAGTGGTTCTCTGGCGTAATCCATTACGTCTTTTTATAACAGCGAAAACCGTATGAAGTCGAGCCTCTTTTATATATTTAAAGGTGTAGTCCGGACGGGGCTTTTGCATTATCGACAAACAAATCCCGTGGGCAGGGCCAGCCCGCGACACGCAACGCGCCCGCTCACTTCCCTTTCGATTTTGTAGTAATTTGTGCAAACTTTGCAAAAGTGTGATGCCAACGATTTCATAGCACTGGATCCGCATAACCCTTACCTTAGTCCGCGGCACGCAACGCGCAAGCCGGTCGGCCGCGACGCCAGGCTGACGTCCGCCAAGTAGAGAAGCCAGCGCAAACACGTACGTTGTCGCAGGCGTGGCATATTTAATGGCGAATACGCAGCAATCCAACGACCGGGCTTGCGCTCCGCAATGCGCAACGCGTGCGCCCCAATCTTCGAAGTTTCGTTTTGGGATATATATTCGGAATTTTTACATTTTTTAGGATACATTTTACGCATTTTATGATTCAGGAGCGCCCGCAACCCATCCATCTCGCCATAGAAAATTAAGCCATGTAAAGCAGGTCCACGTTGCGTGCCGCTGTATTCTGGCGAGGCCATAGCAGGCATTTTTTCCCATCCCTTTAAAGGGACTAGGAAGTCAAAATTCGTGCGAGCGGGGATTGAAACTACTGTTCAAAAAACGAAAGGGTCACTGCCGAAAAGTGCCAAAAACGTGATTTGATTGCGAAAAAACGTAAAATGTGTGAGAAAAACCGAATTCTTGTTGCAACAAAAACGACATTTTGAGTGCGCGGCGATTACCCGTCGTAATGCCTTGTAAGTCACCCCACAACCGCCCATGGGTTCGGTCCCGATGGCTCCCGGGAAAAGGCGTACTGTACGGGTTTTTGCCTGGGGCGCGAAATAGCAGCATGATTTTAGCTGCGCAGGCTTGCTTTCGCAATGACGCGACGCGTCTATCGCACGCGTTGCGGTCTTTGTCGAAAGTAATAGTCCCTCTGCGCCAAATCCTCTACTATAATAGATCATGGAGGAGGCTAGAGTTGCCACACTAATACTTAGGACTGTGCCCCTTGGGCCCCCGCTCGGACTATCCTGTATCCGATAGATCACGAACCAAGAAGATGGCAGAGGAACACCAAGAAGCTAGACAAGAAGTCATACAATGTTCAGTGGTAGTTTCTACAATCGTGTAATAGAATCCAGTGCATTTCGGTATAGAAGACAAAAGATAAAACATAAAGTTTATCGGCAGTATAAACCATTAGAATACAAATACACTCATCGACGTATATTGGGGACAGGTTAAAGTGTAGGTCTCACTCGCTGGGCTTACTAGGGAAGTATCTGAACTTGCCATCGAACTTTGAGAAGTCAGATACACCATTCGACGCGCCGTGACAAGAGGATTCCAAATATGTAATAAAATCAACGGGAGCGCATAACGGTAAAAAGTTATGAGCATTTTAAGTTTTACATGAAATCCGCCGCCGCGAGAAGAGCCCCACCCAGCGCACCCCGTCCATCGGTCTCGTGGCCTAGTGGTGGGGCATGGGTCTCCGGTCTGTACGACCAGGGTTCGGATCTCCTCACGATTTTTATTTTTGCTTTTTGGCCGGTTCCTACTTTTTGCATGTCCAAACTCGGGAATAAGTTTTTCTTTACTGTGACCCATAAAAAGCACCAGCGATGATAAAATAACCTCCGGCAACAAAACTAGGATTGGGTGCTCTCTACAGGGTGTCCCAAAAAAAAAGACACCGGCCGCATTTCTCTATTTCGGGTCCGATCAACTTGAAATTTTGCACAAAGGTAGCGAAGCCAATTTACCATGAACACAGAAAATTTCCGCCCCATCGGTCAGCGGATTTTAAAGTTATAACGAAAATACTTTTATTTTTTTTACTATGGGGACTTCTGCCATTTGCATCAAAAATGTGCGTAATTTTGTCATTTACGAGCTGATTTTGCATAATTTTTGCCTAAAAAGACCATTTACTGTTTTGCGCTTCGTAAGAATGATTGCGCATGAGAAACAAAATACCGTGAAAACAAAAATTTTTTGGGCACTCAAACACATTTTATTGAAGTTTTGGTCAGTTGAGCCTGCCTTGGACTCGACCCAGCGTTCGACCAGCTCCAAATTAATGCTTAAAGTCAAATCGAGGGTTTTGAATCTATGCGTAAGCCGAACAATAAATTAAAACAACCGGTGAACGTATGTTACAATACTGGTTTCTTGTAACCGGCCGTTGTGTGAATCATTTTTACTTCCCATGCGCAATCGTTCTTACGAAGCGCAAAACAGCAAATGGCCTTTTTCGGCAAAAATTATGCAAAATCAGCTCGTAAATGACAAAATTACGCACATTTTTGATGCAAATGGCAGAAGTCCCCATAGTAAATAAAAAATAAAAAGTATTTTCGTTATAACTTTAAAATCCGCTGACCGATGGGGCGGAAATTTTCTGTGTTCATGGGAAATTGGCTTCGCTACCTTTGTGCAAAATTTCAAGTTGATCGGACCCGAAATAGAGAAATGCGGCCGGTGTCTTTTTTTTTGGGACACCCTGTATATCAAAGTTGGCAAATCGTCGGAAACCGCCCTTTTAAGGCTCTGTGCGAATTCGGAGAAGTTAATTCGTCAAAAATGGAACAGTACATCTTGATCAGCAGAAAATTCCCTTTCGAATGAGCTATCTTACCTGCGCTTTACGCTAAATTCTCGAAACGTCTTTGGCTAGCTGGCCATGCCCTACCCTTACACTGCATTCCATTTTTTGCGGAAATTTTTGGCAGCCGTATGTAATATAGCTCATTTGAAAGAGCTTTCTTTGTTGAACAAGGAGCACTAATTAGTTTAGACTAAATTCCATTCCGCGAGATGATACAGGGTCTCAAAGATGCTGTTTTTCGTCATTTTGCCGACTTTGAAGCCTCATAACTTTTTACCGTTATGCGCTCCCGTTGATTTTATTACATATTTGGAATCCTCGCGCCACGGTGCGTCGAATGCTGTATCTGACTGCTCAAAGTTCGATGGCAAGTTCAGATACTTCCCTAGTTAGGCAAAAGGTGCTGGGCATAAAGCAAAAGGTAGCTGGGCTTTTGCTATCGCAATACCTACACAGACCTGGTCGTAAACCCTAATAAAATCCGTCAAATCGTCTGGTCGATAAATACGAAAGCCGCTCCGCCCTCTCCGGGGGAGAGGGCGCCGCGCTACGGTAACGTACACCTTTTAGCAAACCATCGAACGTTGCAGCATAATGCTGACAACTTTCGACAGTCTTTCTTGGTTTTCAATTTTACCGGACGTTTTATTAGGCGCCGGGCCGCTGTGACCCAGTCTCTCGATCTCGGTGGTCATCTGGTCAATTTTCATAATTTAAAAGTCTAATTATCAAAATTGGTTTATAACTCCAAAGATAGTATCAGAATTTTTAAATTCAAGCGTTTTCGCGTCCAAACAGAGGCAAAAGATCATGCGGCGCGGTCGCGGTGCGGCGGCATTTGGCGATTTGCCAGGAATCACAGCATGGGGCCGTGGACCAGATTTCGGACTTCCTTTAAATATGACATGAACGTCGGACGATTTTCAGCATTAAAAATCTATTTATCTTCTAAAAACGGCGGTTACTATTGAGCATTATAAACAGGTCATGAAAAGGCTTTATCACGGCTTGGGCGGCGGATCTCTGGGGCATACAATAGCGTGGAATTGCTTGTCGTCACATCTGCATCCCTGTTTTGTCACACAACACGTCTGCAGCACTTTCGCCTCATTCCCGACGCCGCGGTTCGGGAGTGACCGGGCGTAGGCGGGCGCGTACGAGATTGGGCACACCTGGAAAAGCCGGAAAGGATTATGGCTCACCAAAAAAAAACAAAATTTTTGGGTTTTCGAAAATAATTTATTGGCCTTCAAATAAGCTATATTAGGAACTGGTAATGAATTAAATACAATATTTTGGCCTTAATGGGATATCAAAGGCAAGCTAGCCGAGATTATTGGATTGGATGGACCGAATGGCGCGAAAACGTGATTTGGTACTTTCGTGGACAGCTTCACAAAGCTGATACCTTTTGCAAATCCATTAAATTATACAGTTCAATCCAAATTTTTATTGAGAGCCGAGCTAGCAACGATCACTAGGGAATTGCAGGGTTTCTTGGGCGCCAGCCGGGCGGAAAGCTAGCCGAGATTTTTAGGACTTCGTAGGAGCGATGGAGGGTTAAATTTGGATTTGGACCCTTGCCAAAATT